AGAGAGAGAGAGAGAGAGAGAGAGAGAGAGAGAGAGAGAGAGAGAGATGATTTTGGTCAGATCTGAGATCTCGTCATTGGTCTGTTGAGAACTGCTTTCAACTTTCTAGTGTTGTGTGAGCCTTTGTGAATGTCTCTGACTCTGTGACAGTATGAAGCTGTCAAGTTGTGAATAGTGAAAGACAGTAAGCTGTGTTTAGTACTGTTTACTACTAATGTTTTTTTTTGTTTTTTTTTTTTTCCTCTCGGTCCGGACATTTTTTTTTGTCTGGTGTACCGGTCCGGACGGTCCGGGTCCTGTCCTGTCCGGTTGTCCGGTGCCTGTCCGGATTACCGGACGTCTGGACCAGTCCAGACAAATGTCTGGGCCTCGGTCCAGACATGTCCGGGTCCGGGTCCGCGGTTGCCACTCTGACCGCTACATGATCCTTATAACTTTGCAGAACGGGCATCAACCCGGGTGTCACAAACCCACAGTTGTCGGCCCAGCCTCCGAAAAAACGCCCACCGGTTAACACAGGGCTGTGGAACGGCTCAAAGTCCCCAACGCGGAAAGGCTGGCGGCGCCAGGCGAATCAGGTGCCGGGAAATTTGCATCGGGAGAACTGACTGGAAACCGCAACCATGGCAGGCTGTTGAACCAGATCCTGCACCTTTCCCAGTTTTCGTTTTCCCTTCTCCCTACCACTTCCTGCCATGCATGCATTAGACATCAGTGTTGAGCATTTCGTAGCCTATATGGCTGAACGGTACACGGATGTAACTGTCAATAAACAGATCATGAGTTCAAAGTTCAAACCTGATGGAATCAGATGGATATAATCATTATAATGATGTTAGTGGCTACCATTGTTCAAAGAAATAAAAAAGGAGTATTAAACATTTTCTGTACCTCCAGGAGATCTGTGAGATGATCGATTTGCTCATCCAAGTTCTTCAAGTATGAACTCCTCACACGATTTGTACAGTTGGCTGCAGCAGCAATTTCTTTGGCTCTGCACTCAAGGACCAGGAGCATGAGCATGTCAACATGGATGGGAGAGAGAACTGTGAGAGTACCTAAAACAGAGCACATGGAAGCGGCAGGGCCTGTGAGGGAATCGTCTCGGAAAAAGGGAGTTCATTGCATCATTCCGCTAGCAACAGAAAAACACAGTGATATTATTTTGGAAGTTTCGATGCCTTCATTTTTCCTTTGATCGCAAATTGATGCCTTTCCTTGTCCCTTTTGACTTTCCTGCATTGAGCCAATAAACTCACACTGCTTCGCACACCACAACAAGTTCATTCTTAACCACACCAGGCTCCAAACATGAGATGCAAATCGACACAAGACGACAACACTTCGGAAACTGCACAGAATTTTTCTTTTATTTTTAACAGGACCTTATGATCCTGGCTCCTTTTCCATTCTGGGGAGCGTCAGTCCGGTTCCTATTCCACCGGCAAGTCTGAATAAACATTACAATAGTAACGCACTCATGCTTCCTTCCGTCTGGCCGAAGGACCCCTGAACATCATTGATTACTCCTAAGTAGTGGAGGATTGACTGTCAGCTTGCCCTGCTTTTCTCTTTTCTCTCAGGTCTGTTAGCTAACCTGCCAGATATATCGTGAAAAACTAGAAAGCTAAGCAGCGACTCAAGCTGACCCTTGTAACCCCTCCTTGAAAACCTGTCCGTATGTCTCAAGGCCGTCTTGTCTCTCCTTAAATTTGTTTACCAAGCGGTCCCAAAACCCTAAACCCTAAACCCTAAACCCTAAACCCTCCTTTTGAAGTTTTGCAAGGAATCCCCGGAACCATCTTAGCCCGTCAGCTCATAAGGCCTGCAGTGGGTCTTATTCATTTGGTACCTGGAGCACTTGTCTTTTCCACCCCGTATCAGAATTTAGCCGGTCTTTCCATCGTGTATGGAAGTCAGTCAGCGTTGTCGCCTTGTCTCCTGCCATCCATTCTGAGAAGAATTTTTTTTTATTCTTCTCTACTATTCTTCATCATCAGGCATGGGCTTTCTCGTTTTGTACCATATACCCAGGATCTCTGCTTGACTCAAAGATCTTGCCTCCTCCCGTACCTTCTCCCTTGGGGGTGCACGGTCTTCAAAAGTTCTGCAGCACCTTTCCTTCCAGATGGACCACAGCCTTACCTTTCGCTTTTTTGCCTTCCAGAAGTCCCGTGTTCTTCCTCTTCCAATAAGAGCGTGTGCCTTCCACTGCCATCTGATACTGTACTGGGCTGTTAGACGAGGGGGGAACTTGGTGGAGGTATGACAGGGGAAGGAAAGAAGATGTGATTAGGATGGAGAGGGTCTGGGGGGGTGGGTGTCTTGGCTCAGACGTGTGCATGGGGTTACCTGCAGAACTCTGGTTTCCGTGCGGTTTTCTAGTGCGCTGTGACTGTGTTTGAAAATGTCCCTCTATTGTGTGAGAGCAACGCCTTCTTTATTCACAGACTATTTATTCAGCAGGTAAGTCCCAGTTCTTGAAGTGGATGATGCCCTTATCGATTTCCGCAAATCTGTGCTTTTTTTTTTTTTTTTTTTTTTTTTTGAGACGATGCTCCAATCTATTCGTGGGGAGCAACACGGCTGGGAACCGGGCCCAGCGTCCCTTATCAGAATACAAAAAAGAGCTACCGGGGCCATTACCCGGCTTCGGCTAAGAACAATTGAAGAAAAAAGAAAACTCAGAAACCTTCAGAAAATGTGTGTCGACAAGCCTCCCAACCACGAATCAGATAGGTGAAACCTATTCAGTCCACCTGCGATCACCACCAGCATGGCTGTTTTCAGCACGAACTGAAGCTCTTCCAGGCCTCATGCTCCCATCAGGCTAGGTTACAGAGTTGCACCACCTTTATCGATTTCTGCAAATCTATTCTTGCCGAGCCAGATTTTTTCGAAGTTTCTCTGGCTCGTTTCTATCTTTTCTCGTTGCAAGATTTTCTGTTGCGCTTTTAGTTCTCTATTCCGCTGGGCTCTTATCTCTGTTTGAATTATGGTTTTGGTTTCAGTCCACTTCTCATCTACGCTGGTATTTTGGCCAGCCAAGGTACCCTTGCACCTTGTTTTCCATATTACCCAGAGGGTCGCTCTCCTCAGAAGGTCTGCTAGAATAATTTCTTCCTTTTCAAGGTCTTCTTCTTCTATCCTCCCTGACAGCAGATAAGTCATATTTAAGGGGTACGCATGATCCGTTAGGTTGACCCACAGAGATCTTGTTCTCTCCCAGAGTTCTTGGGCACGTTGGCAGTGTATAAAGCAATGTATCAGCGATTCTTCAACATTCTCACTGCACCGCATGGTCTTGAGAATCTCTGTCCCCTTGAGCGATAGCGAACTTCAGAAATCACACAGCACGGTCTTGAGAATCTCTGTCCCCTTGAGCGATTTTTCCGCGACTGCGCCGCTCCAGTTAGCGCAAGCGCTAACGCCGCCCCGCGGACCCGGCCGTGGCAACGTGCGAAGCACCACGCGCGGGAGAGACCGCCATTTTTCGAACTGCGAACGCATCACTAAGGGAAGAACGACCTTAAGCCACGTCACGCCACACCCTAGGGTGTGGCACAGGCGCGTGAGAAAGGGAGGCGAGCTCGAAGGGGTGAAAAGAATAGGGGAGAGGATAGCCTTCACACAGGCAATAAGAGACGAAAAGGGGGACAAGGAAGGGAAAAGAGAACAAGGACAAGAGAAGCTAAGAAGGGCAAAGGACAGAAAACTCTCGGAGAGGAAGGATTCAAACAGAGAAACAGTGATACGGAGAAGAAAAAGTCACAATAGGGAAAGATCGGATACGACCAAAGGTGAGCAAGAACCTAGAAACGACGCACGAAGACGAGGGAGGAACAGGACAGAAGAGAGGAGTAGTGAAGAAAACAAAGGAAGGGGGGTGTATTTGAAATAAGAAAGGGACAATAACGATCAATGCCATCATTGTGGTCGAGTCTGTTCATAATCGAGATCGTTATCGCCGCGCGACGCCAGTTCAGTACCGCGATTGTCATCATTGGGTTACGGCTTCCCTGTCATCAGCACGTTTACCACCATCGGGCCAAGCCACCACTGCTGTGCTAATCATCCTTGCAGCCGTGTCGCGACATTACAGCCATCGTCGGTATCTTCGTCGCGAGGATAAGTAATCGACGACAACTCTCCTACTAATTTATCCGTCACCCTTCTTCTCGTTCTGCTCCTTCTTTCTTTTTCCTCTCTTCGTCTTCTCCCTCTTCTTCTTCCTTTTTTCTCCTCTAGTTTCCTTCTCTTTTCTTCCGCTTCTTCTTCTTCCCCTTCTTCTTCTCCTTATGTTTCGTCCCCTCCCACCCTTCCCTTACTACGCACTCGAATCTGAAGCCCAGATCCTGAAGTCTGAAACATTCCCATCTGATCCCGAAGCCCCACCCGTCCCCACAATGATACCATCCCAACATACCCCCTCCCGGTCCCAATTCCGTCCTGCCCAAGTCCCCATCTCTACCCCTCCCCGATTCCATCCCACTCCAGCTCCATCCCGTCCCCATTCCCCCTCCCATCCTGTTTCCCCCCACTCCCGTCCCGCTCCCGTCCCGCTCCCATCCCGCTCCCAACCCCCTACCATCCAGCTCCCATCCCGCTCCCACCCCGCTACCATCCAGCTCCAGACCACTCCCATCCCGATCCCCTCCCACCTCCATCCCATCCCCACCCCGATCCTATCCCACCCCCATCCCAATCCCATCCCGTTCCTACCCCTTTCTCATCCCGCTCCCATCCCGTTTCCATCCCGATCCCACCCAACTCACATCCCACTCCCATCCCGATACTAGCCCGTTCCTATTTCGATAACATCCCGCAGCAAGCAGCCCCCATCCCGCTCCCACCCCGATCCCACCCTGATCCAATACCACTCCCATCCCGCCCCCAGCACAAGCCTATCCCACCCACATCCCAACCCCACACTGATTCAGTCCCACATCCCCATCCTACCCTTATCAAATCCTCCTTCATCCCAATTCCATACTGATCCCGTCCTGCTCCCACCACGCTCCCATCCCGATCCTATCCCACCTCCTTCCCGATCCCATTTCGCTCCCATCCAGCTCCCATCCCGCTCTCAAACCACTCCCACCCGGCTCCCTTCCCGCTCCTACCACGCTCCTATCCCGATCCCATCCCGATCCTAGCCCGCCTTCGTCCCGATCCCACTCCGCTTCCATCTAGCTCCCAGCCCGCTCCCATACTGCCCCCACCTGACTCCCTTCCCGCTCCTATCTCGCTCCCATCCCGCTCCCATCCCGCTCCTATCTCGCTCCCATCCCGCTCCCATCCCGCTCCCATCCCGCTCCTATCTCGCTCCCATCCCGCTCCTATCCCGCTCCCATTTCGCTCCTACCCCACCCCCATCTCGCCCCCTTCCCACCCCCATCCTGATCTCATCCCGCTCCTATCCCGATCCCTTCCCACTCCAATCCCATCCCGTCTCCCTTTAATTGTGTTGACCCATCTCTCCCCTACTTACGAATCCTGTTTTAGCCTCCTAGCCCTCCTTCCCCCACCTTCGAGCCACCTCCCCATTCTCTTGCCCCCCCTAACGCCCCCACCCACTAACCAATCCCTCTTTCCTCAATTTAAGCTCTCTCCTATCAAGTGTACCTCTCATTCATCTTCACGATCACCTTCTTGACACACAACCAACCGTCCAAGCGCCTACCCCCTCGCTCGCCCCGCTGCCTAAGCTCTCCCCGTTGGAACACTTACTCAACTGTTCACTCACAGTAGACCAGCACAAGTATCAAGCAACCAACGCCCGAACCACTATCAGTCACAACGATGGAGGGCATGGGAATTGAAACGCAAAATTGGCTTGCGGAACAAACAAGAACACCTCTCATCAAAACCACCAAACTCATTGACCATGGGGGAAACAACAAGGAAGAGATCGTGATCTACGAATGTCCGAAAGAATTAACCTCCAAATCGGAAGAGCTCCATAAAAAGCACGACGTCCTTTTCACCTTCACG